TATGCGAAACTTTACACAAGCCTGACATGTTTATTGAATTTATAAACACTTTATACACATATCTTTAAGACGTAGAGATTGCGGCCCTAGACAGGTGTAAGGTTTTTATTTCAATTTTTTTTTAAACTTGTTGAAATTATGACTACAGCACTCAGCAATACTGCAGTACTGTACTCATTTATTATTTAAACTCCTTACCCCTTAACTGTGGCGTAGATTTAAAAAATGTTTTTTAGTGATTTGACTAACCCCAAGAAACTTGATGCAACTTACCCGTAGACATCATAATCACTCAAATCAATGTATATAGTTATTTACTTTAAATAATCCTTATTTCTTATAATCCTTACCTTTTTTGCTTGGAATATTTTTTTAACTGCATTTTTAGACGAATAAAAGATATCTTTTTTATAAATTGTTATGCCTTTTTATAATTAGTCTAAATATAGACGTGGAAAAGACGTCTTTTAAAAAGATTTCTTTAAAAAAGAGGTTGAAAAAGCGTCAATTGGTTGTACGTCTTTCTCAAGAAAAGACGCCTTTTTTGTCAATGGCCTTTAAAAAAAAGAAATGAGTAAATTTTCATTTAAATGTCAAATAAAACAACACCTAGCAGGGCTTGGTGGGCCTGTTTTTTGTCTACAAAAAACTTTTATAAGTTCTTCTTTTTGTAAAGCATTTTTGCATTGGAAGTTTAACCAGAAATAGACTATTTTCGGTAAGCGGGTTTATTTTATAATTGATTTGATAAAGTAATATGTTATATAACACGTACATAATATATACTTATATATATTATAGTACATACATACATTTCACATACATAATATATATATATATATATATATATATATATATATATATATATATATATATATATATATATATATATATATATATATATATATATATATATATTTTCTAAGAAAAAATCCGTTATATACAACGAGTTGTATCTGTCGCTATTGCACTAACGGGAAATCCGTTAAGTTAACGAATTAAAATTTTAACGAATTGAAGTCCGTTAAGAATAGTCCGTTGAATTTACGGATTTATTTCGTTAGTGCAACGAATAATCCGTTAAAATTAAGGAGTTATTACACTTGGCAGCAAATTTTCCGCGGTTGTTATTCCTATGAAATAAATGTGTTAATAGGTTATTTTAGTGATTATTTCGTTAAAATCACTAAAATCTAAATTTAGAAAGGCCAGAATTGTAACTTCCTAACCAAATAATCCTTTTATTTGTTAATGTTTGCATTTTTATTTAATTGCATTATTTTATTTCGAAATTCTACATTAAAACGTTTTAACCAAAAATTGAAAACTAGTCAAATATTTATAATATTTAATCTAATATACTTTAAATTATAATAAAAATACTTAAAATTTTTTTTTAATACACTATACTCAAGCTAGTACATTTATATAAAAAACACACACACATATAATAACTGTTTAAAAAAAACCAATGCCAAAATAGTTTTTGGTCGCTATTTTTGGTTTGGTTGGTTTAAATAGGTTTTGGTTTTGAATACTGTTGTTACTCGTACACAGGTTTGCACTTTAAATCGGACACCATGCTGTCAACTCCTTAAAGATTAATATAAAATAAAATAAGATAAATATGGAAACTTAATAACATACCTAGTATAGAACCAAAATAAAATGTTACTGATAGCACTATATAAAATGTTTTTGGTAATTCATTATATATAAATTTCTATTCTAAATTTTGTTATTTTAATTATCTCTGATATCGTTTTTTGAAGACAAAGTTAAATGGAACAAGTAAATTATATCTTCATTAAAATGTAAATTAAAAAAAAAGTATAAGATTACCTTGACATTATCTGATAACTAAAAGACTATACATTATAACTATAACTATACATTTCACATACATCAATGCCTATCAAGAGCAAAAAATAAAGTATCTAACCTTTTAAAAACTATGATAAATCAAAACAAGATTAAATATGCAGACCAAAAAAAACGCAAGTAACTATATAAAAAAATTAATTTACAACTTATTTAAACTTACAGTGTCATACCACTTGTCACAGTGTCATACCACTTGTCACATGTTTAAAATAGCTAATTCTAAAATAATAGTGAATATACAATATAGTAGAATAATAGTTAAAAAAGTGTGATATAAACTTAGTCTTAACTAAACTAAAAAAATATGCACGCCAAAAGAAATGCAAGTTAAAATACAATTTTTTTAAATTTACTAATTCAAACTTACAGTGGGATACCACATGCCACGTGTCTAAAACAGTAAAATTTAAAATAATATAAACACGCTAGATATAAACTTATTATTATTATTATTATTATTGCTATTATTATTATTATTATTAGTTGAAACTCAACTAAATAAATATGCACGCCAATAAAAATGCAAGCTACAATATAAATTTTACAACCAATTTAAACTTACAGTATGACAGCTTATACCAAGTGTCTAAAATAGCAAATTCTGAAATAATATAAATAAGCCATACACAAACTTAGTTGTAATCTAATTATATAAACATGAACGTCAAAAGAAATGCAAGTTAAAATATAATTTTTTTTTAAATATACAAATTCAAACTTACAGTGAGATACCACATGCCACGTGTCTAAAACAGTAAATTCTAAAATAATACAAACACCACAGATATAAACTTAGATTAAACTCAACTAAATAAATATGCAAGTTACAATATAAATTCTACAACCAATTTAAACCTACAATATGACACTAAATGCAGTGCCTTTAAAACAGCAAATTCTAAGATAGTATAAATAAATAAACATAAATGTTAAAAGAAAAAGAAGTTCCAATATAAATTTAAACCAATAAAGATAAACAAGTTGTCTAAGATACATTTAAGATTTAAATGAACATCTGTATATATACACACAGATATATGTATATATATATATATATATATATATATATATATATATATATATATATATATATATATATATATATATATATATATATATATATATATATGTATATATATATATATATATATATTTATATATATATATAAATATTTATATAAATATATGTGTTTATAATATATATATCTATTAAATATATATATATATATATATATATATATATATATATATATATATATATATATATATATATATATATATATATATATATATATATTTATATATATATATATGTATATATATTTATATATATATATATATATATATATATATATATATATATATATATATATATATATATATATATATATATATATATATATATATATATATTATATATATATATATATATATATATATATATATATATATATATATATATATATATATATATATATATCTGTGTGTGTTTATACAGATGTTCATTTAAATCTTAAATGTATCTTTGACAACTTGTTCATCTTTAAACTTTTTACTTGTAAATCTTTTTTCTATGTTGTTTTTTAAATTGAAAATTCATTTTTTACCATTTATTAAATCTTAGCTTCTCCACCAAACTAAGCTATGGTATTAATATGATCTAGTGTCAATTAAGTTAGTCGCAGGTAAGTGTTTTAAATAGTTGTAGTGTTTAAATTTGGATTTTAATACATACACAAGGCTAAAATACGCATATAGTTAGAAATTACAAGTATTTGATATCATATCACCTAATTTTTTAATGTGATGTACTTGAAGAATGTTATTTATTACATATGAAATTAAAATATTTATACCAAAATTTTATATCACATATTAAATTAAAATATTATATGAAAAAGAAACCTGTAAACAATATCTGTCTATATTTACTTGTTCAGGTGCCAGAAAAACGGACAATAGAAAAGAAGAAGCATTCAGTAAGCTAGCAATTATTTTTTTTAAATGATCTAAATTAATTTGTTGTTTGTCTTTAATTGAACGATAAAATTGTTAAGAAAAAAGGTTGGCTTTTTAACTTTTATGTTAAAGTTGTTAAATGTTGTCTGTCGTTAACAAAGCAAACAAAAAATGCACATTATGACAACAGATTTATCTTTAGAATCGTTTGCAAAAATTTTGGTTTGGATCAAAATAAATGTGAAAATGACACTGGAAAGTTACACTTTCTTCTAAACATCATTGTAGCTTTCTAGTCTTCATTTTTGTTTATGCGTATTTCATCTGTGTTGCTAATGGCAGTTTTTTAAAATTTTATGTTATAATACTTTTATTCAGTTTATTACATTAAAACAAGAGACTGTTTTTTTTTTTTTTTAAAAGTCGAAGACAGCTTGAATAAAAAGAGTTCTCAACGTTAATATTATTCATTCTCGAAATATTTAATGTTATTAATGCATTAACAACAACGACAAGTAACAGAGCTCGCTCAAGAAACAGAAGAGAAAGAGAGAGATGAAGACAATTATGAATCTGGAGATGAATCTGCTAATGATTCATCTCAAGATTCATAATGAATTGAAATGCTGATGTTTTTTTTCCTCACTGGGATTATTCTAGCTAATTTGTATACCTTTTAATTTTACTGTAAAAGAAAATGAACTAAAAACACAAAGATATTCGAAGCCGTGACAAAGTGATTAGAGTTCTTGCTCCAAGAGGTCATAGGTTCGATGTCGGGTCCAACCCAAAAGCGATGTAGACAATTGTATGGCTATATCCACTTTGTATTGTTTTGAGGCCAATGCGATTAAAGCCATTTTAAATGGTTACTAGATTACTATTTTGACAAGTTATCAAAGCTTTTTATACGCAAACAACTCCAAAAATATGATATTATCTACTAGTTTGGATGCTAAAGAAACGACAAAAACAATAACATTTGAATGAGGACAGATTTCATTCAAATGTTATAGTTTTTGTAGTTTTTTAAACATCTTCAAGTTTTTATGGCTTCTTTTTTAGTTTTTGTGATTTCTTTTAGCATTTTTAAATATATTTTAGTTTTAAAAAAAAACTACGTATAAATAGGATATTTTCTATTAGTTGCATGTAAATTTTAAACAAGAGATTAACAAAGCTATCATCTGAAGAGACTTTTACTCAACCTCGTTTAAAGATTAAACATTTATCGTTACGAATTTAACATTTATCAAAGGATGATAAGTCAAAAAAAAATGTACAGAATATTTTTAACTTAGTAGTTATTAATTTTCTTTTAAAAGTCATATTATTTACAATATATTTATAAAAAAATACTATTTTATAAATTTTTTATTTTATTATTATTTGCGTTTCCTAGGACTGCCTTTTAGGTTCGCCGTTAAAAAATGAGCTTTGTATATCATGTTTAAATCCTGTTATTAATTACTTAATTTGTAATTATGTAGAAAATTATTTAATTTGTAATTATGTAGATTTATTTAAAAATTGGCTTTACTAGTATCACAAATTTACAAACTTAGAAAAGGTTTCCAAAATAAGGGCAGTTGTCTTTTAAGTTTCATTTTTTCATTTTTAAATTAGCTATAACTTTTATTTTATTTTATTTTTTTACTTATTTTTGTTCTTTTTATTTTGTTTTGTACTTTTTTTTTTCCCTATCTTATCTGTGCGCTAAGAAGTCTTTAGGGTCTCACCACAGTGCCACTGGGAAATAAAATTAACTACGAACTTCTTACCTCCTTCTATATGAATGCCCCTTATTCGGCCAGAGCCGGGATTGAAACTCAGTCCTCTTTTGAGCCAGAACTGAAACTTTTACTTCACGGCCATTTTGACACTTTTAGTCTATATGTATTCCTTTATCCATGGTGTTATATGGCTCACTCTAAGCATAATGTATTGACATTAAGTTTGTAATTAAAAGTGAAATTTTTAAATACTATAAATAGTTTTCTTGATTCTTCGAAATAAAATTTGAATTTCATTATCCGTAGTTTTTTTACTTGTTTTTATTGGCTCTTATTTTGATATTTAAAAGAGTTTACTAGTATAATTAAATGGTTAATGCTAAAATTTTATTGATATTATTTACATTCTTGATTTAATGTAAGTATTTATGGAAATCTTAATCTTTTTAATATATTGGAGATGTACAAAGTATTTTCAACTATCGCATTTTCCTTTTAACTTGTAAAGCCCACACAGGTTGTGATGACTTTAGTCATCCGGATTTTCTTTTAGTACCTGTTTTTCATAAATCCACTTTTTTTTTATATTAAAAAAAATAAAAGATATATAGACTTTACAAATGCGTTATTCGTTGGACTATTGTTACGGTCGCTCAGAAGCGATAAGTTATTTTATAATATGCGTAATAGAAATTTTAAAGAATTATGTTTTTAAAAATCTTCGTACACGGACATATAGAATGTGTTTGAAAATTTTTTTTTGATAAAGCAAATGTACTAGACCTCTTTATGGCGTATCTAAAATTTTATTAAAATATAAAATAAGACTGGTGTACAAAAATGTACACATCGTGTTTCAATTATTGTTTTGCTTAAGTTTTAGAGTGAAAAATGAACAAAACGAATTGTGTACGTTTATACACATGGTGTACAAAGAGGATATATATATATATATATATATATATATATATATATATATATATATATATATATATATATATATATATATATATATATATATATATATATATATATATATATAAATATATATATTTTTTTTACTATAGCTGAAATTATAATAGGCTTATCTTGGTTGCATAAGAAAACAACTCAAAAATAGTAAAAATATATTTAATACTTTTAAGGTTGTGCTTTTCTGAGAAAAATGGCATTCCAGAATAGGCGTGATTTATTTATACTTTTGAAAACACATAATCTAATTATCTTTAAAGTTTATATATCTTTATAATGATTTAGATAAGTTTTATTTGTATTTAATACTTTTCAGATTTTAGCACTCCATATTAGTCAGTTTGTATAGGAGAGTTTCTAACACACCGAAATCTAATAAGCCAAAACGCCGAATTGCCGAAAAGAAACAGAACAGACTACAGACTGAAAGTAATTTAAAACCGGTGTTGTATAGAACGCTAGATGGTAGAATCAAAAACTTATTCCGAAATTTGAAGTTTTGTGTAAATCAATTATCAGAATTTAACAAAATAAGTGTGTGCCTTGACTTTCAAAACACTTTTTAACAAAAACTATTTTTTTAACTTATTGTCTGCCTAAACCTAAACCCTTAGTCAATGTAGACTCCCTGCATGTTCTACCTATTTAGTCAGTTGATGTATGGACATTCCTTGCATGTTTTACCTATTTAGTCATTCGTTGTATATATAATCCCTGCGTGTTCTTGCTATTTAGTCAGTCGATATATGTACACTCCCTGCATATTTTAAAACATATGCGCCCAAGAGCTATCAATTCCGTGTCACAGGGAGATAAGGTAAAATTAGTTACCATGGCACATTACATTTCTAATATAAAGTATATTATAAATATATATTATCATAATATAATACTTATTTAAAACATAAAATTATTATCGGGTCATCAGTTTACACAATATTTCAAACGTCGG